GGCCATTCACTGGACCTCCTCTGACGGCCGACGAGACGAGAACATTAACTCCTGGTCTGGCTCCGATGTCACTGTTCTTTTATAGTTCAAAGTCCTGACTCACCTAATGCACTTAGAATGTATTGTCTGTAATAATAAGATCAGCCGCTTAAAGTGAAGCTCCACTTCCAGCTTGTCTTCAATGTGTGAAGGATGATGGGTGAACCCTGATATTCACAAATGCTGGGCTTGAGCAGGGCAAGCCGCTAAGAGTTCCTTTAAAGAGGAAGACTTTTGCGTTAGTCATAGTTAAAGAGATATAACCAGAATGGTGACTTTTTTAAATCTTCAGTAAAGTGTTATTCCCTCAGTCATGTCTGACTCCTTGTGACCTTGTGGATTATAGCCCTCCAGGCTCCTCTGCCCATCTCCTCTGGGACTCTCCAGGCAAGAATACAGGAGGGGATAGCCATTCCCTTTTTCAGGGGATCTTCCTGACCCAGGGATTGAACCAGGGTCTCGTGAATTGCAGGCTGATTCCTTACCATCTGAGCCACCAGGAAATCTTTGGGAAAAGTGAAAGTCACTCAGTCATGTCCTACTCTTTGCAACACCATGGATTATAGAGTCCATGGAATTCTCCAGGCCAGAATACTGCAGTGGGTAGCCTTTCCCTTCTCCAGGGGATCTTCCCAACCCAGGGATCGAACCCAGGTCTCCTGCATTGCAGTTGGATTCTTTACCAGATGAGCCACAAGGGAAGCCCAAGAATACTGGAGTGGGTAGCCTATCCCTTCTCCAGCAGGTCTTCCCGACCCAGGAATTGAACCAGGGTCTCCTGCATTGCAGGCAAATTCTTAACCAACTAAGCTTATCAGGGAAGCCATCTTCGAGAAAACGAGCATTTCGTTTTGAGCTCGTATATTAAATGAAACACAACTAGACCATTTCCACAGCCAAAACCAGAGCAGCAGACAACATACGGACTCTCCCCACTCCACTTCTTATCCACCTAGATCTGGGACGGTCCACCCTGAGCAAAAGGCATGTGATGCACTTGCCCTCACTGCCTCCAAGAAGCTGAAGGCACCTGTATGCTTCTAAGGAAAAGTCCTATCTTAAGACGGAAAAAACACAAACAAATCTACAGCGGGCTAGGTGGAGAGAATGGGTTAATCCACACCCCGCCCCATCCCTCCCGGAAGGCGCCCAAGGGCTGGCATGCACCACACGTAGACTCGTCCCAGATTTACAACAAGCCCGGTGTCAGCCAGACAGAACACATCTGTGCCAGACCCTCAGCAGAAATACCAGTGTTTTCTGATCAATACACTTCCCACATGCTTTTTGTCCAAGAAAAAGCCAAAGCACCTTCATTTCAATAATTGTTCCAGACCTGTTTAACTGTTTTGATGTTGGCAACCTTCAAAGTTCCAGCTAAACTTAGAAACTCAACTAGGGATGAAAAAATGTGTTGGGTAAGTTACCAAATGATGCTTTAAAAAACAAACTCATTCTCTAAATTTGAGCCCCACTGGGTATAGGACGGTGGTCCCCAACCAGGAGACAACTGCTGACTTCTGGAGACATTTCTGGTTGTCACTACTGTGGACTGGGGGTGGTCCTGGCTTCTGGGGGGCTGAGGCAGGGATGCTCTAACCACCATACACAGCCCAGCTATGCTCCCCACACCTGGATCCTGCAGGTGCCAACAGTGCTACAGCCAGAAGGAGGCATGTCTGTCAGGATGTGACCCAGACACATGGATGTCCACAGTCCTGAGATGGTCCACGGGGAGGCGAGTCATCCAAGCCCCCGATTCTGCACCTGGCCACAACCAGCAGAGTCAGCAGCACCTGGAACATGATGACCCCTGCCTGGTTTATGCTGTAAGTCCTTCCAAGCACAGGTGATAGACAAGGAAACGGGTCCAGAAGGTGAGCATGTGGATCTCCCGTCACTCAGCTACAGACGTGGGCCCTCAACCGCTCCCCCTGGCCTGCAGGTCAGAGACGTGCGGGACTCAGAAGTTGAGGTTTTCAGCAGCAGCACGAATGTCCAGGTCACCTGGCACCGTGGACAGCGTGAACAGGCCTCACCTGCATCCTGGGACAGTCATGCTAGGCGGTGGGCACTGTCACAGGCAGCCCCATCAAGGACTGCTGCCCAAATGAACTCAGGCAAACCTGGGAGATTTTTGGATTTCAGAATTACAGGTGCAGGGTCCTCATACCTGCAGTGAGGGATGACTGAATTCAGGGGGATGGTACTGATACCATTCATGCCCAGGCCCTGGATCAAGGCCGAATGAGAACTCCCATCTCAAGTGGGCCCTGAGAGGAGGCTGACCCCAAAGACTCCCTTCCACAGTGGTGGAAAGAACAGGCCCCATTCACCAGAATCGCTCTCCTTTTGGGGTGGGGGAGGGGTGTTGTGACAAGCACGGCATCACCTCCAAAGAGGTCATTTCGGTTCAACCACACACTCCTATTTCTATTTCTTTTTCCTTCCAGGATGTAAGACCCTCAAGTTCTGGTCATTTGTCGCGCCGACTTTGAAAGGTGGCACTCAGCCAGACACCGAGATGCCCGTAAAGTGATTATTGTGAGAATCAAGGTCACAAGTGCAGCTCTGCCCGGGGTTCTCTCTGACTTCTTCCTGACCGAGGAACTGCAGAATGCCCTGCTCCTGTGAAGGGGGTCTGTTCAGACTCAGGAGGCCTTGTGGCCCTCCCAAGGGAGGGCGGGACACCGAGCTCCTGGGGGCCCACCACGCCCCCGCGCCCCCTCACCCCCACCCAGAGAGGTAATGAAGAGCTCGGCCCAATGGCGTCAGCAGGAGGACCCCGTTACTCATGAGGAACTCGGCTTCTGGCTGTTGAGACTCCTCCAGAGAGACCCCACACATTCTTTGAAGGAAGCCCGGGTGTGTGGAGGCTTGGGACACCTGATGTGCCTCAATTCCTTCATTAAGCAAAGTGCAAAGTCTGGTGGGTGTACATCTGGATACACCAAAATATCCCCGGAATACAGATGCAGCCGCAGAACACGGTGCCAATTAGAAACAAACACACAAAAAAAACCCTCAGCCTGAGAAGGGCGACTTCAAGTTGACCAGTTACAGTGTGGGTTCCAGGATCCACAGACACCCTCTCCTCACCATCCCACAGTCACACCAGACCCAGGTGCGGCCCCTGGCTGAAGGCAGGGCGTCACTGGCCCTCAGCATCCTGCGGACGCGGGATGTTGAGCAGCGACCCTGGCTCAGGAGATGCCCCTCATCCTAGGAGGACCCAAAACCATCTCCAAGGCAACAAAGCCTGAGGGTGAGACACACCCCCATCACTGCTTTGCTGTGCATGCCAGCTCCTGTCCCAGACCCGCCAGTGACTGAGAAGTGACACAGAGGAAGTGTACCGCCCACAACCCCTCAGGTTCTTCAATGAAGTAACTCAACTGACTTCCCTCACCTCCCAGCAAGGCGGTCTTAAAGGTCCCAGGAGGGACAGAACTGCACCCCCACCACCACCCCCACAAAGAGGGGAAACAAGGAGGGCAGCTGGCCAGGCAATCAAAGGCTTCCTGGGGAACATGCTGGAACCGGAAGCTGGAGGACTGTTCATCTCCAGTGAGTCTGAAACAACATTACTACGCGTAACAGAAAAGCCAGATCTGAGAGGGCTGCACCCCTAGGACACCTTTAACCCAGGTATTCATGCATCAGGAACTACTATCAGCCCAGGCTGCAGGGCACACACTCTAAGTTCTAAGGCACACAACCCCGCCCCAAGGCAAAATAAAACAAAAGGGCAGTGGGAGGGAGCCGGAACAAAGGAACACTTTGGTAGGACCCAAAAGAGAACCATCCCTTTGAACCTGGCCAGATGCTGTCTCTTGGGATCACAGAAATGATGCAAAGTATAGAGCAGCTTCAAATATTAATCTAGGGCTTGCTGTGTTAGGAAAGCTGAAAAATGGGTGGGGATCTATATGTATTTTGGTGGCAGAAGAACATGAGGTAAGTGATGAGACATCAGGTTGATGGAATTTTACAGACATAGAAAATTGTTACACATAGTGGCAGATAAAACATACAGTACACAAAATATATTTGCAATGATGCTAATAATGTAAATATTTCCTTCCAGTCTTTAACATATATAATCTAGGAGAAATCAGAATAAAATGCTAACAGTGATTTGGGAAGAATTAAGCAATTTTAAAAAACCATTCTCTAATTTTCATTTTTAGAAAGCTTTATTATATTTTATGAATTTAAAAACTAATGATGTTATTTTTTCTAATAGTTGTTGAAATAAACCATGTGGTCGAAGCTACACGGGTGCCTTCCCGACAAACACAACTTACTTCTAAGCTGCTCCTACTGCTGCTGCTGCTAAGTCGCTCCAGCCGTGTCTGACTCTAGCGACCCCATGGACTACAGCCCACCAGGTTCCTCCGTCCATGGGATTTTCCAGGCAAGAGCACTGGAGTGGATTGCCATTGCCTTCTCCGACTTCTAAGCTTCCAGGACCTCAAAAGCAGGATAATCAACCATCCCTGCTGTTTGCTTTCAGGTGCTCCATTTTGCAGTTAAGGTATAAACAGACACTAGGGAGGTAGCCTGGGTTTTTCATCTATGATGAAAAGTTCAAAGAGGCTGCTTTCTCCCATTTACCTTAATGTTTATTCACATTCAGGCTGCATTTTCAGTGAATATATCTATAGGGATGGGAAGTACAAATAAATACGACCAGCTTGAGATCCTTAGTCTACTAAGTTGATGTCAAAATGGCATTTTGAGCCCTGTTTCATTTATTTATTAGGAGCCCTGCTCCCTAAGACAAATCTCACAGATGGGCATCTAGACCAGGGGGTGTGACCCCAGCGTCCCCAGGAGGCTCTCCTGGTACCTGGGCTCCCCTGCTGGTACCCTGTGTGCCCGTCACCCCTTGCCTGTGGTCGGCAGCCCCGGGCAGGCATGAGGCCCGCAGAGAAAGTGGGAAGAGACGTGACACTGACCTCATAGATGAAGTACACCTTGGCGCCCACATATATCCCCATGCGCACGACGGCCCGGACAGCAGCGTTCATGCCTGCAGAGGAAGGCACAGTAGTTACTGATGAGGCCCTAGTTAACTAACCGTGACGGTGGGAAAACCATGCACCCTCTTGGAAGCCTCGTCCTGTGAACAGCGGTCCCGACGTGAAGCCCCCAGGACTAGTGCAGGGAGCGGGGGACAGGAGTACAGAGACTAGTGAGTCACAGGCTGGACCGCAGGAAGCATCACAACTGAGCCAGGAAGTTTGTTTAGAATTTCTCTGCAAACACACTCGGGACACACGTGACCTCAATCTGGTATGAATCTGCAGGTGATTCCATGCAATTGCAGAACAACAGACAGGAGAGATGCTTTCTTATAGGTAGCCAAATTCAAAGAAAACGAGACTGAAGAGGCCCATTGGTCTGGGGAGGAGATGAAACACTGTCACCCACTGCCAATGTTAAAGAATAAAATTTTAATCACAAATTTAACACAAATCACACAATCCTATTAAAAGGAAAAAAAGTGAAGCCACTCAGTCATGTCCAACTCTTTGGTACCCCGTGGACTGTAGCTAACTAGGCTCCTCCATCCATGGGATTCTCCAGGCAAGAATACTGGAGGGGGTTGCCATTTCCTTCTCCAGGGGATCTTCCCAACCCAGGGATCAAACCCAGGTCTCCCACATTGCAAGCAGACGCTTTAACCAATGAACCAAAGCTCAAGTTAAACCATATACTATAAGTAATACCTAATCAAAATAAAATCTAGACCGTTTTCCATATTTCCCCAGAACCTTAAAGGAAATTAAAAGTGCAAAGTATCCTTGTATAAAACTGCTACACCCCATTTGGATGGCATCATCAACTCAATGGACATGAGTTTGAGCAAACTATGGGAGATAGTGAAGGACAGGAAGTCTGGTGTGTTGCAGTCCATGGGGTCACAAACAGTCAGACATGACTTAGCAACTGAACAACAAAACCACATTCTGTTTTCCACTGAAGCCCTGTTTCTGGGCAGCCATCTGTGAAATGGACCATAATCTAGACCTACATGAACAGGACAGGATTTTGTGTCTCCTCACCCCAGGTGATGAGTGAAGCCACCAGGAGGATAGTGAGAAGGGAGGACCATTCCTCTCTGAAAGGAGGGAGCCCTGAAAGGGAGTCTCGGAAAACTCATAGCCCCTGGGCCCCCAAAGGTCTCAATCTATATCCTTTGTAAATTTAAATTTCAGGGACAAACACCCAGACTAAAGGTGTTGGAGAAGGTGGACCATAAAGTAAGTGGTGCTATAGGTAAACAAAGCAACAAATGAAGGCACCTGGGGTCCCAGGAATACACTCCACAGACAAGGAGACTAAGTTTGTATATATTTGGAGGGTAAACTGGCTCAGAAGATGATTACAAACTTTCAAATTTCTTTGAACCAAGTCTGGAAATGTGGGTTAAGACTGCTGCCTCTGAAAGGTGACAATTTTGAAAGGTTACCAGGTTTGTGGAGCTGAAAAAGCTGGAAAGAAATCCATGTTAAACAAATAAATGCATGTTAAACAAATAAATCCACATTAAATAAATGCACGCTAAACGTGGCTGTCCCACTGCTCCCAGATGGGCGCTCACACCCGCCCATCTCACCACAGCCTCGGGCCTCGACCCCACGGACAAACGCGCCTCCTTGTGCCCTCCCCACAGACCCTGTGATTCCAGAACTTCATTCTGTGGCCCTGGAATCGAGAGCCTGACCGCCAAACACTGGGGCCCCACCAGCCCTTCATTACCAGGATGCCAGCACGAATGACACGGACTCCTGCCCGCCCCCCACTGCTGTCACTTCTGAAGACTTCTTGATGCTGGTGGCGGGTGTTCTAAAGGCAGGAATGAAGAGGACATAGGAGATTTTAAAACATGCAAGTGGGGAAGACGGGGCAGCAGGAATGGCAAGTAGCAGACTGTCAGAGGCGACTCTAGGGGACCCCCATGTGAAATAACAAGCTGTGGTGACCCCCACCCGAGAGGCCTGACCACCTTCATGCTAGCCCCACGGCCTGAGTTCCTCCCCTGCCCCGTGGGGCTGACCCGGACTCACCTGGGAACCCAACCTGTCCCCTCGGGGCTGGTCCCCTCAGCCTGCAGCAGGCCCCGTGAGGCAGGGTCTGGGGAGGGTCCTAAGCACCCATTTCTAGCAAGATCCTGGGAGAGGAAGTCCTGGCATCTGAGAGGCATCAGAGAGTCCAGCCCCCAGGGCTTTTATTCGAGGGCAGTTAGAGTAATCTGCTGCAAGGCAGACTTTTCCCAGCAGCCCCGGGGGCCCCTTCTGACTGGGCCCTGAGCGGAGCCATCCTGCTTGGGGCTCAGTGATGACCAGGGCTGAGTGCTCTGCACACCTGGGCGGATGTGCCCACAAAGCCCTGGGGACCTGGTCCTCCTGGGAGCCCAGAGTCAGCCCGAGTGAATAAATTAATAGCCGAGGGAACAAAACGAGTAAAAGGCAAAGCTGGCGTGTAAGCCCGACTCTTCCCCTTACTGTAACTTAAAAACCATTATACTAATAACTGCCTCGAGAATGAAGGAAACTTAGAGGGAAAAACGCCCAGTGGGCCCAGTTTCTTGTGTAAATGTTTGTGGAGAGGCCGCCTGTCCGCTTGAACTTGGGGCCCACAGGGCAGAGCTGCTGCCTGGCACTGGCCCCACAGGTGGGTGCCTTCCAGAAAGTGCCCAGATGACAGAAACAGAGGGCAACAGGAGAGGCAAGTTTCCACCAGCCGTCTCTGTGACACACGAGTGGGGTCCAGGCTGGGTTTGGTGTCTGAGGTCTCCTGGGTGAGCAGCCCCAGGTTCCAGGGCACTCCAACAGCTGTTTTTAGTAAACCTTCAGACACAGTCAGTTTCCTTCCTTTTCCTTTTGGTTTTGTTTTGGCAGCCAGGCCCCATAATTCAAACAACCTCCATAACTGTTTCCATGGGAACCATCATCCTGCTACCAAGAAAGTGCCTTAGTCTTTGGAGAGTAACCTCTTGTCTCTCACAAAAATTAGAACCCTGGTCCACAGGGAATGATCGGACTTGTTACGGGAACCAAAAATAAACCTTGAAAAACCCAGGGAGCAGAGGAAATGTGAGCAAATTAGGTGTGATAGAAAGAAGGGACTGTTAGACTGTCTTCCTGCCATGACGTATCCTCAAGTAGCTTCTTACTAAAAGCATGGTGCATGTAAGACAGTCATTAAGATAACTTCTTCCTTCTGACTGGGGAGGCCAGCAACCTCTAAGAGAGGCTTCTAAGATTCTGTTCTGATAAAATTTAAATTTCGAGTAATTTGTAAGAAACGAGGATTGTGTTGCTTCTAATAAAACAATTGGAGCTGTTTTATTTTCCCATGGTCTGAAAAGCCTAATAAACATCCTTGCTTAGCCCTTCTGGACCATGTTGAGCTGCTTCCCCTGCATATTTCTCAGGGCCCACAACAACTCCCTGACTAATTTCAACATTTAAATTCTGTTTTGAAAAATAAGATCCAGCGCTTAATCTTACTGGCTTCTCCCTGATACCACGGGGTTTTCACCTTTGTACCAAAGGGAGGACGTCAGCACAGGTCAGAAAACAAACTTAAAACACAGTTTATCTTGCTCTTACTACTGCAGCTCTCCACAAAGCTTCCCTGTTTTAGTGATTCAGGTGTGGGAAGGACAAACAGTCCACAGGAGAAGGTGTCCCTGTGACCAATTACCAACCTCACCTTCTGAGCACCCTGCCGTGTCCAATCACCGAGCCCTGTGTCAGACACCAGTGAGACAAATCCCTGAGGGGTGTCGACTGTCTGTCCATCCAGGACACATGGATGGGTGTGTTCTCTCTGCCGGCACTGCTGGGCAATCCACTGACACAATCATGGACCTGGTAGCCTAGTGGGCTTCCCCTGTGGCTCAGCAGTAAAGAATCCACTACAATGCAGGAGCTGCAGAAGACACTGGTGCGATCCCTGGGTCAGGAAGATCCCCTGGAGGAGGGCATGGCAACCCACTTGACTGGAGAATCCCATGGACAAAGGAACCTGGCGGGCTACAGTCCATGGAGTCACAAAGAGTCAGACACGACTGAAGTGACTTAGCACACACGCACTCACGCACGCACATGGTGGCCTAGTGGTTAGGATCCCAAGCTTTCACTGTGCAGGACCTGGGTTCAATCCCAGGTTGAACTGAGATCCCGCAAGCCACGTGGCAAGGCACCAAAAAAAAAAAAAGAGTGCATTTGATTAGTGAAGGCTTAATTAATCAAAATGACTTCATGAGAAAAAACAGCCAGAAGACAGACAGATTAGTCACCTCCATCTTGCAGAAGGAAGGAGTCCATTCTAGGTGAGGTTCCAGGAGGGAGATTCGGCAAACATCTGGGTACCTGCCAGGTGCCTCCAGTACTGCCCTGGGTGCCAGAAACACCCTGGTGAATGGACACACATCCTGGGCCACCGCTTCCCACTGTAGCCACGTGGCCCATCCAGTTCATCTCAGAGCTCACTCACTCGTGTGTGAAACATGTTAGTTACTGCATGGAAGCATTGGTGGCTACTGCTAAGCAAATGATCACTAAATGTTACTCTTCCTTTTTTTTAATTGGAGTAGAGTTGATTTATAGTATTTTGTTTCAGGGGCACAGCAAAGTGATTTAGTTACACATATACATATATCCACTCCTTTTCAGACTCTCTTTCCTTATAGATTATTACAGAATATTGAGTAAAGTTCCCTGTGCTATAAAGCAGGTTCTTGTTGGTCATCTATTTTATATATAGTAGTGTGTGTATGTTAATCCCAAACTCCTAATTTATTACCCGCCCCCCTCGTTTCCCCTTTGGGCACCATAAATTTGTTTTTGAAATCTGTGGGTCTGTTTCTGTTTTGTAAATAAGCTCATTTGTGTATTTTTTTAAAAATTAGATTCCACACGAGTAATATTGTGTATTTGTCTTTCTCTGTCTGACTTGTTCAGTCACAAAGCCGTGCTTAGCATGATAATCTCTAGGTCCATCTGTTGCGCTGCAAATGGCATTATTTTGTTCTTTTTTTTATGGCTAACCCTTCCTATTAGTAGAAAGGCTTATACAGACTCCATCTACACATGCTGTTGTTCAGTCGCTGATCCTTTCCAACTCTTTTCCACCCCATGGACTGCAGCACGCAGGCTTCCCTGTCCTTCACTGTCTCAGAGTTTGCTCACACTCAAACTTTGTCCATTGAGTCGGTGATGCCATCCAACCATCTCATCTTGCTGCTCTCTTCTCCTCCTGCCCTCAATCTTTCCCAGCATCAGGGTCTTTTCCAATGAATCAGCTCTTTGCATCAGGTGGTCAAACTCTTTGCATCAGGTGGTCAAAGTACTGGAGCTTCAGCTTCAGCATCAGTCCTTCCAATAAATATTCAGGGTTGATTTCCATCAGCTTTCTGTAAACACTAGCTTACTTTGCTATAGGTCAAAGAGGACTCAGTTTTTCTGTTCAGTCTACTCTGTAGGTCCATTTCTCTGAACTTTCATCTGTACTGGGCCCTCCAGAAACCCTCAATTTGAGTCTAAAGCAAGGAGTCATTTTCGGCATATGACACAGTCTTGCTTCGGGGGTGGGTACCTTGTTATGGTAAGTCTGTGCACTGACCTGAACCTTATTGTAGGTTAAAGTGAAAACCAGCTGAAATTTGCAGACATACCTTGTGACAATGGAAGCAACCCAAAGAATGAAAATAATAATTAGCCTTAGAAATAGTCTTCCTCTGTGGCCAGGGCTGGGGGAGTCAGGAATATAGCTGGAGGATTTTCGTTTTGTTCAACAATCATATAATATAAATTCCATTGGAAATAAGTGCTTCATCACTTTAGTCTCAGGTGTGACATCAATGTAGCCACCCTGATGCTCTCATTGTACAAATGCATTTTATTTTCTATTTGCAAAGCTACTTAAAAATCATCTGTATAATCTATGTAATATCTTTCTCTTTTGACTGGTAAGTAGGGCAGTTTGTCTCATGTTTAAGTTATCTATCTGAAATTTTAGGTTATTTCCTTTAGATGATTGCAGTTTACTTCATTAATTTCATAAGGAAATCATTAAGACATTTTATACCAATTAAGTAGTTTATATATTTTTAGTAAGAGAAATTTCACAGTGATCCTGTCTTTCAATGTACTTTGTTAAAGCACAGTCTTAAACTCCATTTGAGTCTTTTAAAAGTTTTAAGTTCTTTTGTTTCTAATTTGAGGGAAAATCTTTTAAAAACACTTCTTTCTAATTTGAGGGAAAATGTTTTTACTTGTGGCAAATTAATTACTTCTTCATAGTCTGCAAAACACAAAGAAAAATGCCACTTGCCTTACTAATGAAAAGTTTGGTGTCATGAAAAAAAAATCACCTGTATAATTTTGAGCAAACTTGGCTTCTGAGTATTAATTAGATGTTACAGCCTTAAGAGCAGGGCTTACTGGAAAACATTTGGGATTGAGATTGAACTTGGTTTAAATCCTGCCAAGGGCCACCTAAGAGCCTGTCACCTTAACAAGGTTACTCCTTTCCCCACCTCCAAAACCAAGACAGTAATCAGTCCTGGAGACGAAAACCACAAAGCTCCCAGGACATGAACTGTGCACAGGAACCAGCAGCTATAGCCTTCTCCACGTGAAATTTTATCTTTGTTTCACATCTGAGTAGAAAACTATGCTGAAATTAATACTTGTGGTTATTCACCTTTGTCTTTAGCTGTGAGCAAACCTCTCTTGTCTTAGGGAAAATCAAGCATAGGTATCATACACTCAACACAAAATGGCAGAGCACGGGGGAGCAACATCATCTCTAGGAATCACCTCCTCAAGGAGCTTAAGTCTGCTGCTGCAGACCGGCCCCCTGGTGCACATAGCGAGGCGAGCTTTCTCAGAAAGAAACGCATGCCCCTGTTCAGTCAGGTCGGAGATAGGATCGAACAGGAAGTGGCACTTGGCATGAAGTCCAAGAAGAAACAGACAACAGTCTCAGCTCTGCCCCAAGGAAGATGCCCAAACACTGGGCCACCGGGAGGCTCTCCAGCAGGGACCACCCAGAGGAACCGTTCCAGGCATCAGGACAACTCCCATCAACCTGACCATACACCAACCAAGCCATCTGACATTATCATATAATTTTGATTCTCAAAGTATCTTTTCCACTGAGAAGAAGAGGTATGGACTTACTGACCTCTATTATTCACAACTGCTCACAGGTGACAGAGATAAGTAGCAGGTAAGTAGCAGAGAAAATGCTGATTCTGTCTATTGCATCATCACCTCAATTGCCTTTACACCAGTTACCCGGTAGCTGAGCAAATTTATGGAAAAGGACTCAAGTGAATGACCTACATTTTTTTTTTTTTGAACAGACACAGCACCTTAATTCTAAATGACTTTGCAACTCTGACCTTGAAAGCTGGAGGATTAAGAGACCAGTTCCTTTTTCTGTGCCAGCATTTTAATCTTTTTCCAAGCCCACAGTAAGAGTCACTCAGTATGCTTCCTAACTTGGGTAGCCTACGTCTGGGGACGCAGGTGCTTTTTGAAGCCCGTTGATCGGGAAGCCCCTCTTAGCCCAGCAGCGACCCGGCCGGGACCCCATTCAGCACAGCTGGTAAGTAACGTGGGCTATGTCATCAATTTCACTATGCCATTTCCCCCAAAGATACAGTCTTCGCTGTATCACGTTTACTGTCTTCACTGGGGCCACTTTACTAGAATACCAAATTAGACCAGCCTGCTCGGGCTCAGCCGGCTTGTGGGGCGGGGGCGGTGACAGATGCAGCGCGCACCACCTTCAACAGGACAGGGAGGGGCTCTCCAGGGACCCAGGGTCCCCTGGCCTCCTGCCGGCCGCGCGCGGGGTGTCCGGGGTCCGGGGCGCACGGGCTGCGACGGGCCCGACATCACGTACGCGCGGGGCAGGCGGGGCTGCGGCCACAGCTCCCCACCTGCAGCCCCCCCTCCCTCCCCGCCCCTCTCAAGGACGATGGGAAGGTCACCAGCAGCGTGCGCGGAGGTGAGGGCGCGGGCCAGCCGCTTAAGCATCCCTGCACCGCGTGTGGTGAGATGAGGTGAGAAAGAGGCATGGGGCCTTTCAGCTCATCAGGATAGGAGGAAGGGGGTAAAAGAAACCCCAGAAGCTGGCGCGGGAGGCGTCTCTAGCCTGCAGTCCTCCAGGTTCCGAGCGCATGGGCAGCGCCCCGCTTTCTAGCGGTTGGCTCGCCCCACCCGGGAATCTACGAGGATCAGGAATCCCCAGGCCCCCACGTGCGCCCGGTGCTAGGGGCGCGGCCGTGTCATCCCCGCTTCGGCTGTCCGCTGGCCCCAACCTTGGGGCCCCATTTCCCCCAAGACCAGCTTCCAGGCTCGCGGGTGGAGGGCGGCGCCCAAGTCCGCGCTCCCGGCGCTGGCGACACCCCGGAGTCCCCGCTTCCTGGTCCTTCCCATCCAGGGGAGGCTGGCGGGGAGGGCCTAGTGACCCGCTTCGGTTTTCGGTTTGGTGACGAGCCGGAAGGAGACAGGAGTTGAGGACGGCGGAAAACCGTTTTTAAAATCTCCCAGCGGAAACGCGAGGCGGTGCCGGGCGGCCCGGCTACCCGGGCGGGGACCCTGTGCGTTCGCCGCCGCACGCCGCGGGACAGCAGCGGTAACCCCGCCCGCGCCGCGCGGGGGTAGCGGGGTTGCAGACCCGTCGCGGGGACGCAGCGGTCTTCCCCGCGACCCCAGGTGTGGGGAGTCGGGGACGGAGCCGGGGCGGCAGTAGCGGCATCGGAAGTGGCCGCGCTGTAGCCAAGCCTTGGAGGGGCGTCCGGCTTCATCCGGCCTCGCGGAAGAGGAGGGACCTCCGAACGAGGTCCAGGCGACCCCATCGCCAGTTGTAATTTAGGAAATAAACGTGGAGATGGAAAACTGACCTTCCGGGTAAGGGACACCTGCTCCCTCCGCGCGGGTCCCGCAGTGACTCCTTCCGAGGCCGCACCGGCTCCCGCCCCGGGAAGGCACCTCCGAGGTTCCCAGGCGCCGGGCTTCTTCCCACCGTCACTTACCCCTGGTACCCCTCTCCTTACTCTTCTCGGGCCCCCCATCCCTTCTTCCTGGCATCTCATCCTTTCTCTGGGGTCCCTTCTCCCCGGCACTCCCATCCTTTCTCTCCGGCACCCCCACATCCCTTCTCATTGGTCCCCTCCCTGCGCCCCCCGCCCGGGACCGGGGACCCGGTGGCGCACCTTGGGCATCCCCGCCGCTGGTCAGCACGCCGATGGCCTTGCCAGCTCCGGAGAGTTGCTCCAGGAACTTTCGGAGGGAGCCCTTGGGGGTCGGGGGGCTGTCGTGGTCGTCCATCGTGAACAGGCCGGAGACCGCGCTCTGGAGGGCGCTCGGTAGGCACTGCACCCCGCCCGCGCCGCCGCCAAGGGAACCGCCGGCCACGCCCGCGCGGCGCGCGCCAATGGGCGGCCTGGGGCTGGCGCGGGGACGCGGGGGCGGTGGCGCGGGCGGGGCTGGGGGCGCCTGATTGAGGGGAGCTCCGGGGGCTGCGGAGCCTGGCGGGCAGGAAGGACCCCTCCGGGGCTAGCCACAAGGTTCGGGGGCGCGGTATGCATCGCAGATAGCAGGAGCTTTACGAGCCGGAAGCGCCTTGGAGGGAGGGGACACCCACCAGGTGGGAGGGGACACCCAGCGGGTGGGAGGGGACAGCCCGGAGGTGGGAGGGGACAGCCCCGCAGGTGGGCGGAGCATCCCTGGTAGGCCGCGGGGAGGGCACCGCCGGAGAGTTGGCCGCGGATGGGCGGACGGGGAGCGGGTGTCCCGGCAACGGGAGGGTGCGGGGGCAAGGCGGAACTATAGGTGGGCGGGGTCACCGTGGTCGCGGGAACGCGGCAGGTGGGAGAGAGCATCCCGCTAGGGGAGCCCAGGAGGCCGGGTGGAGGTGCGGGGCGACACACGTGGGCCGCCGGGTCGCTGGCGGTTGGGGGATCCGAACCGTCGCCGAGGCGCGCGCCCGTTCCAGCAGGGACTTCGTTCGGAGGTCCCTCCAGGTTCCTGCCCGGGCGGCTCTCGGGGCCTGGGCGCCCCAACCTTTCCTCCGGCCTGCGAATCGTCGAGTCGGTGGGCGTCGCCTGCGGGCGAGGACGAAGTGCCGGCTTCGTCTCCACCCACCGGGGCTTTGGCAGCACGACGAGGAGGCGGACTGGGGTCGTGGAGGACACGCGGGGACTCTGGCGACCGCTGGCGCTGGGCTGGGCGCTGGAAGGGAAGGGGCGGGGGAAGGGCAGGAAGGTCCTGGCGAGGCGATAAGACCCTGGAAGCCGCGGTGTCCGGGGTCGCCGGCCGAGGCGCTAGTGTCTGGTCCGCTGGGTGATGGATGAACAGGGAGCTTGGTCCCGGTCTGTTCCTGCCGCGGGTGCAGATGGATGCGCAGTCTTTCGGAGCGCACAGCGCTGAGCTTGGGGTACGGTCACCCCCAGAAAAAAGAGTTCCATAAGCGGCTGCATCATCAGTCCCTTGTGGGGACAGCACAGTATCCCCTTACTACTTGCGTAGCAAATGTGCGTCGAGTGGACACAGGGAAAAGAGGTTAAGTCAAGGCCGTCCCGTCCACCTGTAGCAGCCTGACAGTGGTTTAGTCCTGGCTGCCCTGGACAGAGCGGTGTGTGCGCGCACTTCTATCTGGCACTTGCCTTGTCCTCCTGCCCTTTCTCTGAGCATCACAATTGTTTTTGTGCAGAAAAGATACAAATACCTGCCATGGACAAGGCCAGAGGTCTGATATCTACCCTGGAGTAGAAGTGATGGAGCAACTTCTAAACCCACCAACCACCCCACCCCGCCGTGGTCATTTGAATCACCTGGCCTGGTTTTTCCCGCTCCACCAGAATCGCAGAAGCCCTGTTTCTGGGAATGCTGCCTGGAAAGACGTATTTTCAACAAGTTGCAGCACATTCTGATGATTGCAGAGTCTGAGCGCACCTGCTCCACAGAGAAACTGAGCAGCGATGCTGAGAAGATACTGGGCGTCGGGAGGCTGCCCTTCACTGTCCTGGCCGGGAGAGTGGAGCCAGGTTCCCATTTCTCCAGCCAGAGGTGTCCCCAGTCCAGGATTTGGCCTCCAGAATCATCCATCCCTTTCTGCAGCATTCTGCACTTTGCATTTTAGCCCCAAAGTCTTCATCTTCTTATAAAATTGGCATTTTTGTAATTTAGAGGATTGGCCATTTGTCATCGAGTGTCTGTAATATATTGAGTTGGCCAGTTTGTAAGATGGTATGGAAAAACCTGAATGAACTTTTTGGCCAACCTAATAAAAAATAATAGGTACAAACTAAGAGTCCAAACAATGGGTTAAGTACATTTTAATGCAAATATACACGTGGCCTTCTATTGCTGGTATGATTATGAAGACAAACCTCCATTTACACGGAAGTGTATTTAGGATATGTTAATAAATGAAGGAGAGTCAGAAATACCACTAAACTGTGTGAATGTGTGCACACACATGCATATGTAAATTTAGATATTTTCCTTTCTTCTGCTTATTATGGTACTTCCCACACTGTGCAGAACCCCTCTGCCAATGCAGGAGACATAAGAGACTCTAGTTCCATCCCTGGGTTGGGAAGATGGCACCCTCTCCAGTATTTTTGCCTGAAGAATCCCACAGACAGGAGTCTGGTGGGCTACAGTCCACAAGGTTGCAAAGAATCAAACACGACTGAAGCGACCTAGCATGCACAGAGTGTGGAAAGATACAGCCATCTTTCACTTCTTTTTCTTTTGCAGTGTGTTTATTTTATTATTTCTTCAGCTGGTGGTGGGTTTTTTTTGTTTGTTTGTTTGGCCTTAGAAGAGGCTTCTCTGATACAAAAGGGAGAATCACATGCCATGTTGAGGTCACATCTTACCTCCAGTGTGTTGGTTCTCCACTGCTTACCCCGAGCAGAATTACCCCGAGCTTCTGTGGCTTATATGACCACTTATATCACAGGTTTACCATCCTAGAAAGGGCGTGCAGGCGGGTTTTACTGGGCCCTCTGCTCGGGGTCTCAAAGGCTGCAGAGGTGTCGCTGGGGTCCCGATTCTCCTCTGATCCCTCATCTTAGCAACTCCCTTCTGTCCCAGCCCCTGAGCCAATTTCGAGCTAATCTACAACCACAGCTCCACCACCATCTGCTGTTTTCCTGGTGCCTCATCTTCTTGCTCTTTCTTCCCTAGACTTGGGAAAGTCCAAGATTAAATGAACCGGCCTGCTAAACAAGGAAATGCTGCCTTCAGCCCCTGTCCCTCCCCCACCCTACAGTTGTTTTTCAGTGTCCTTGTCCAAACTTAAAAATAATTCTGCTTTATGTCCGGCAGATAAATTTAAATTATATATGAAACAGTTGGATGCTTTCCAAGACCTTGACGCAGAACCATGTTGTCCTGGACCAATTAGAGTCAATATCCAGACACTGGGGGAAAAAAAAATGGAAGGAAAGCCAGACTCATTATTTCTGCAGAGTATGTGGCCATTAAGAGTTTAACCCCTCCGGGAAATGTCACTGGTGATGTGAACCGGCCCCTCTCAGAGAACAACTATTTCCTTCTCCGTGCGATGTTGAAAGCTGGTTCACGGCAACTTCCTCATACTTCCAACACTTTTCCTGCAAAAGGAGAGCACAGGTGCTGATAAGATGGAATAAACTGATCTTCCTAATTGCTGAGTTACTTCAGGAAACGGAGGAAAGGAGAGATGGATGGTTCTTTTGAAAAATGAGTTACATAGGGATTTCCCAGTTAGGAAAGGAAATTATGATTCTGGCAGTGTTGCCATGTGATGGTTAATTTTATGTGTTAACTTGGCCGGATCATCGGTGCCCAGATAGTTGGCAAAACATTGTGTCTGGATGTGACTGTGAAGTCTTTCCAATGAGATTAACATTTGAATCTTTCCAGTGAGATTAACATTTGAATCAGTGAACTGAGCGAAGCATCCCTTCTCCATGTGGGGGTGGGGGGGCCTCAGCCAGCCCATGAGAGTCTGAGTAAAGGTGAGCTTGTGGTCTTTCTCTCTCCCTAGATGTTATCAGATGTATCAATATACATGTCCTGCTGGTTCTGCTTCACTGGAGAATCCTGGCAAGTCAGCTTAAATACATTCGTTCTGTGTTTTAGTTGTGAAATGCTGTTGTCCACACACAGGCCTGTGTCCCCAGCGGCATTTTACATGTTCAAGTTTGTAATAACGGATCTTAAAGCGCCCTTCCTCCCACATCAGAACTGAAGTGGTTCATGGCCAGCAGTCAAGAGCAAACATGCCGAAAAACCCAAAACCACAGCTCTGAACTATAGTGCTTTTTCAGGTTGCAGACGGGCCCACATGGACCACGCGTGTGTGAGTAGCAGTGCTGGCTTGTAGCAGGGGTTTTGGGGTTTTTTGGCAAATAAAACGTCTGAGATTCCCATATAAACTACACACCTCTTTCTCCACCCAGACATACGCACCTATGCACACAACCCCTGTATGTTGCATACAGTTTAGGGAACTCCCGAGCCTGGTGACTCGGGTGGACAGAGGGCAGAGGATGGAGTCTGGCCCCAGGTCTCAGGAGCAGAAAGTTGAGTCCTGAGCGGCCTCCCTCTGGCTGCTCCCTGTTCAGCCTTGGGACCCCATCTGATCTCAAAGCCTAAGCCAAACCCAGGCCAGGTGGGGTCTGAGAGTCAGTTCCTGGGGTCTCAGTCCTGCATCTGGGGGAGTCTCCCTGCACCCCCCACCCCGCGATGCTGTTTGGAAAGCATCATTCAGAGCACCAGCTCTCCTTCCACTGATGATGTAGTCCTGTGATCCTGCCTGGGGCAGACTATTCTTGAGTCTATAAAACATTTTTACCAGAATGGGCCATCCATTTAGGGCCATATTTTGGCAAATGAGGCACCTCTGCAGCAGACGGGGCTGATCATTTCTCACCTGACTTGTTCTGCGTCCCTTCTGCCCTGCGGTCCGCTTCTCTGTTCCTCCCTCCGCTCCAGGGCCTGGTGGGGAGCTTGTCACCGGAGCTGCGCTCCAGGTCGTGGAGGGAGCTTGCCCCTTCCCTCTGTCCAGGTCACCAGGGGGCAGAGAACAGAGCCCAGCCCTCAAGACTCCCCCACTCCAGCCTTCAACCCCGGAGCCCATTGGAAGGACCGTTTCTGGGGTCATTGAGTCATCAGGGGCAGAGTTTGCACTGTGAAGACAAAGGAAGCTGAGAGATGCGGGCGGAGAGACGGAGACACACACAGGAGAGACTTATACAGAAAGGCAGAGAGAGAAAGCAAAAACACAACATTCCTTATATTTGCTTGTGACAACCACCAAAAATGTTTAAAGTTGCCGCTGTTCCCTCAGGTTCCCCAGTTCCACCTCTGAAACTTCTGAATGTCATCAACTGTCAGTCCAAACAACCAGCGAATAAAACAGCTTGTGCAACCAATTACTCGACTTTTTCTTGATATTTTTCTGAACTCTATGGTGCTATTTCCTAACACCACCTCCTAATGCCCTCTGTAAATTGGATTTTCTTGGTTGTGATTTCATATGAGTTAACAGAGAACACAAGTAACAATGGTGAATGTAAATGAAGAGAAGATGAAGCCCTTCCGGAATGTTACATTCTTAGAACTGATTTCTGTCCTCCCAGGCTTCTCCTCACGGAGAGTGTTGGGGCTCCTTTCCTCACAGTTACAATAAGGACCTTAGCATTTAGACTTGCTTTGTGGCAGATAAAATGCCAGATAATAAGCATGAATTTCAAGGTTTCTCCTTGGATCCAAATGGTCCATTTTTCAAATTTTTATTACACTGGTTTGATGCCTTTTATGTCCTATGTCCCAGAGATTCTGGAAGGAAGAAACTTTGGGACCTCTGGTTAATCCCATGCAATCTGTTCCATGCCCTTTAGCATATTCTGACTCGGAATTATTGACTCACAGGACTTGAGGCCCCTCAAGGATACTCCTTGCCCTGCCAAGTTCTGAGGGCCTAAGAATACCTGCCAGCTCACAGGTTAGACCCAGTAGGAAGGGCAGAAAACAGCCTGAAGGTGGATTCCCTTAGCAAAGAAGGCAAATTTTTTCTAGTCACTAGAAACATGAAGATAGTTCATCTAGCTGTGGGGGGTTGCTGAGGACTCGGTTTTAATTTTTTTTTAAACTCACTCAGTTGTGTCCGACTTTTTGCAACCCTATGGACTATACAGTCCGTGAAATTCTCCAGGCCAGAAACTGCAGTGTGTATCTTTCTCTTCTCCAGGGGATCTTCCCCACTCAGGGATCAGGGGTCGAACCCAGGTTTTCCACATTGTGGGCAGATTCTTTACCAGCTGAGCCACAAGGGAAACCCAAGAATCCTGGAGTGGGTAGCCTATCCCTTCTTCAGCGTATCTTTCCAACCCACGAATCAAACCAGGATCTCCTGCATTGCAGGTTGCTGAGGACTTGGTTAAGTACCAATATTCAAAATAGCATCTTCTGGGAGGAAGGGACAGTTAGGTAGGGCATCTAGGGAGAGCATGTACACCCTGCCATTTTTAAAATAGATAACCAACAAGGGCCTACTGTGTAGCACAGGGAACTCTGCTCAATGTCACATGGCAGCCTGGTTGGGAAAGGGGAGAATGGATGCGTGTATATGTATAGCTGAGTCCCCTTGCTGTTCACTTGAAACTATCACAACAGTCTTTATTAATCGGCTGTACCCCAGTACAAAATAAAAAGTTAAAAGAATCCCAAAACAGCGTCTTCAACAAGCCAGCACTCACGGAACAGACGTGAAGGGCAGGGTCCTCCGGGCTCGGTGTATCAAGAGCCTCAGATCCTCCCAGGAAGGAGATAGTGGGGATCCCAGCTCTCACTTCCGGGCCTGAGGGCCCCACGCCCAGGCTGGTGGGGAGTGAGCCTCACCTGACCCGGCCTCCCAGGCTGGAACACACTCACTTCCTGAGGTTCCCTCACCGGAGCTGCACACAGAAACCTTTGTTCCTGCGGCTGTCGCTTCTGGGGCAGGAGGTGCCCCGCTTCAGTCTCCCACTCTGCCTCCAAGATTCCGACCTCAGTGGAGGGTACAGAAACTTGTTTTTTAAAACTTATTCTCAGATTTTTTTTTAAAGTCAGACAACTAGAAAAAAAAGGACACATCTAAAGTAAGGTGAGTCAGATGCAAGTGGGAATTTCAGGTGATGAAATATGCACGTGGATAAGCACACCATGCTTGGGACATGTTGGGCAGTGAGCTTCCCCGATTGACGAGAACCACGGAAACAAAATAAATGTAAACAGCAAGGAAATGCTAGGATTCTCTGTCAGCTCCTACTTTTTGATAAATGCCTTTTACAGACTTATTTTTATTTTTAATCGGAGGATAATTGCTTTACAATGTTGTGTTGGTTTCTGCCATAGAACAGTGTATAGACTTTCTTCTAGAGAATAGGAGTCATAGAAGTAAGACAACAGGAACTCTTGTGAGCAG